GACAGTAAATTTGAGGCATATCTGGAATATGAACATTTTTTTCTTTATAAATTTAAAGAAATTTATCAATTTACCTATAAGAGATTGACTATTAACATTTGCAAGCTCATTATACTTCCCCTTATCTAGCCGTCAGATTTGAATGAACGGCGGAGATGGATCCAATTACAATGTCACACCTCTATATTGTTTTATTTTTAATTCGTTTACTACAAACCATTTTGAGACCAAATTTTGGGCTTCCACTACTCTCTTAAACTCACACCTGAAAAAAAATATAAAACAAATATTCTCTATAAAATAAAATGACCAAAATACCATTGAAAGTTTCAGGGGTATTTTAGTTATGTTATGTTATTGGAAATATTTTGTCTTTATTTTTGTTAGGTGCGCCCCATTGAGATAATGGAACTTACTAAATTTCATATCCATATAATTTGTAAAATAAAAATTAAAAATAAAATACTCTGAAACGCGGTATCTAGATGAAACAGTCAATGACTTATTTGATCTAAATTGGATGATTGGATGGGAGGAGTATAAACTCCTATACAATAAAGAAAGTATAGAAACCTTTCTATTAACATTTTCCCTATATTTTTTTATTTTAGGTCAAAATACCAATAAAAATACGTGATCATGAGTTGGAATAGTTTTAAATGGGTAAATTGTTAAATAATTCAACATCTCATAGGTATATTAATAAATTTCCAGTAATTATTATTGAGGTGAGGGAAAATATTTTGAAAGATTTTCCAGTCCCACACCTAGAATGTGATATTTCTCATGGGCAGACAACCAATTTTGGTGACCCAATTGTGGAAGACGGGCATCATTGCCTTTATTATTGTAAGGAAAAAGTTTATATAAGGTTAAGTCCTAAACAATCAACTAAAGGCGCACCTCAAAAATTACTGGAAGAGGTTATTTCAATGTTGAAAACCGCTCAAAACGATAATCTCAACCTCAACATGTATAGACATGAAAAAAAATGGATTTCAAGATTAGGAAATGGTACATCTGGTAATGCATTATCGTGACCGTCAGTCTACAATATTTTTTAAGCTTTAAATTTTATAATTAGAGATGAAAATACATTTTTAGATCATAATAAAGATTTTTGCTACTTAAAAATCATCTTTCATCACTGTTTATATGTGTGCCTTACTTTTGATGGTTTAGGGCCTCAACCTTATACAAACCACACCCTCATTGTAAAAATGTTTTTATTTTTCTTTACCTAGTGTCATCAATTTTTTTCCCTTATATTTTTTGACCAGCCTTTTCCCAAGATTCGGTTTGGAGATTTTTTGCTTTTTACGCAAATGGTGCAACAAGGTGGGACCAGCATTTCCACTATCATTTCATGGGAATGACGGTCCAAATGAGTTAGGGTACTCATTGGAAAATTCCACTGAAGACTTATCATAAAAAAAGAAAGGATGAAAGAAGTGCTAAGTGTAGGTCAGCGAAGCTCTCCATACGATTCTTCTCGAACTGTGATGTTTACATTGAATAACCATTGCCATATAATTTGTGCTCTCGCGGGAGCAAACTGTCCATTTGCTCCGTCTGGCAAAAACTTAGCTGGGGATATTTTTAGCGATGTATTCTTTGCAACTGTATGCTAAATCCAAAGGGGAAAAAAAAAACTTCAAACGCATACTCCATGGGACTGAAAATAATGATAGAAAACATAATGTCCAAAAATTGAACCCAGGCTATCCACTCTCTTGATAGAAAAATATTTGTGTTGAGCAGCTCAAAATTTTTTTTTGGTTTCGAAAATAATCAGCAAATGGTTTTTAAATGGATCCCAAGTTTGTAGATGCAGAGAATCTTTCCTAATATGTTTTTAAACGAGGGAGAAATTGGACAGTTTTCTCCAGCAGGAGCATAGCATAAGAGTTCATAACCATTTTTTGTGGGCCATTGTGAGTTTGATTTGACTTTTGTAGTTGTTGAAGGAGGTAGAATTTACATACGAGTACAGGTTAAACAATTAAAAGGAAGACAGACGTCCGAACCCGGGTCAAAAGATGCAGTTTCGGTACTGGAAACTCTTATGTTAGCCTTAGAATATATTTTCTATTTCTAATTATGAGATTTAAAGCTCTAAAATAATATGCATCAAATCAACTTAAAAATATTTGAAAAATTTGAAATAGACAGACTAAAGTGTATTACTTTTCCCATCAAATAAATCTATTCGATGTGAAGAGGAGGATTTTCCAGGAGCAACCTTTTTCAATGTGTTTATTTTTGGTGCGCTTCACTTCTATAATATAAGTTGAGCACCTTATATAAACTTTTTTTTAATCATTTCTTTCTTTTTTTCTGAAGTCTAAAACTATTAATTCTCCTGGTACACTTGGGTCTATTTTTATAATTGACTCTCTAATGTATGTTATATTTTCTCTTGTTTATACTTTTCTTGCAACTGGTATAGGTGAAATGGTCGTCGCTGGGGCTCACTTGACAGGGAGAATGGGACTTAAAGCAATAAAAAAATGGGAAAAGTTTCTATAGAGCCTAGGCTCCAAACAATCAAATTAGACCCTACCTCAAAAAATTCACTAGTAGAGGTTGCTTTGATGCCCAAATATCCTCAAATTGATCATCTCTACATCAAGATGCATGGACTTGAGAAAAAAATGGATTTCAAGTTCTGAAAATGGTGTATCTTGTAACATATTTTTGGAACGTCAATTTTTAAGTTATTCAAGTTTTTATAGATCTACTTGATCTACACTAGTTTTGAAGCTTTAAATTTTATAATTAAAGATGAAAATATATTTTAAGGCTAGTCAAAGATTTCCAATATTGAAATCACATTTCTCAATACTATTTGAAGAATGTCGGCTCTAATTGATTGTTTAGAGCCTCAGCTCCATACAAATTGCACCCATTAAAAAAAGGTCATCAAGAATCACAAGCTAAACCAACCCGAAATAAGGAAATATAATATCAAATTTTAAAATTAAATATTTTAACTTCCGAGGAGGTTGCTATAAGGCCTGGCTCTATGAAAGCAAAATGAAGCCTCACCTGCACTTTCGGTGAGAGAAATCTTCATCATGGTTCTAAAATCAATTTCTAACACTGATTATAAAATTCAAAACTCAAAAAATAATAGAAATCATATGGATATATAAACACTTATTTTAGGGAAAAATGGACGATCTAGATAATTTGTTAAAATATGCACTATTTTTAGAGCTTGAAATTCTTCTTCTTCTATTTTTCAAAAACATAATGTTCAAGCCAAGATGATCCTTGTCAATGTGTTCTAATGCTTAAATTGTAATTTTTAATGAGTTGTGAGGAAAGGCTTTACTTACTTTAATAGGGTTGCAGCCCTATCAGACCATTTTCCTTTTTTTCACTCTGGCCTTTTACCTAATTACAAAAGTTTATATAGAGTCGAGGCTCTAAACCATCAAATTAGAGCCTACCTCAAAAATTCCACTAGAAGAGGTTGTTTTGATGCCCAAATATACTCAAATTGATCATCTCGACATCAAGATGCATGGACATGAGAAAAAAATGGATTTCAAGTTTTGAAAGTAGTGTATTTTGTAATGCATTATTAAACCGTCGATTTTCAAGATTTTCAAGTTTTCATAGATCTACACTATTTTTTAAACTTTAAAATTTATAAATAAAAATAAAAATATATTTTAAGGCTATCACAAAGATTTTCAATATTGAAACCATATTTCTCGATACTATTTGAAGGTAGGCTCTAACTTGATCGTTTAGAGCTTGGGCCCTGTACAAACCGCACCCTAGTTTTATTGATGAAATTTTGAATAGCCATCAAATTACACATCATTATGTTAAAATGAAATTCATATAACCACGCCAACTCTTAAGTTGATTCAATAAGTTTGAATAAATAAACAAAAGAAAAGTCAAATTGAAATGGTTGGGATATGTCACATCAATAAATATGAATATATGCTAAAGAATTCATAAGCATTTCCACTAAAAAAATTCACCCAAATTGTGCTGCTCGTATATTGGCAACCAGCGACCCAGGCACCGTGGTTGTCCAACACACTCACATCACCTACCACAAGATAATTAGCAATTTTTTAATGCGTAAGTGGGAACGACAACCTAGACCGGTAGTTGAGGCTTAAGTGGTGCTACCACCACGACCTCAACCCCATTCCCATATAATTTATACTTAAAGTAGAAAAATGTATTTAGAAGTTGGAAAACCTTTTAATTTACATCTCGATTTTCATATACATGAATATAAAGAAAAAAGAGGAAACAAATATTTAACATTGTAGCTCTATCAAAATAAATAAAAGCTCACTTCAAAACTTATAAAAAATTTACAGATTTCACATCGAAAAATCTTCGAATCAATCATATGTGGCCTAGACTATTACTGTTGTTAAGAGAAAAAAAAAAAGAGATTTCGAACCCTAAAAATAATGTATGATGTAACACATTATGCACACCACCTAATTCACTGTGAAAATAAGTGTTCACAATTCTACGAGACTTGTATCATGTTTTTGAGTTTCAAGTTTCACAATCGGGTGTTGAAAATTGATTTTGAAAAATTGAATTTAGAGCCAAAAATATCTTCAATACTCAAAAGTGCTTTTTCAAAGAGGATTTTCCAAAGAGGATTGGAAGTGAGGCTTTTACTTTGTTCCATAAACCTAGGCGTTATAAAATGGCATCCCATAATATAACCTATTATTTAGAGCAAAGCTTACCAAATGATACCCATCTATGATCTTTTGGCCTTGAACCGTAAAGAAAAAGAAATTTCACTAATACATATACTCAGTCTACATGTGCATTAAATAAAGTAGTGATCAATCAAATCATCACCTACCACGATACCTGTTCTCCACCACCTCCTAATTTTATAATTTAATCCTCAATTATTTATTTATTCACACGACATTGCCCCCAAATCAATGAGAGACGACCAGCACACCTCAATGTCCCAAAGTCTACATAATGTGGGGCCAACCTCTCACCAAAACCCCTCACGCCACGGCATAAAAGCCCACGGACCCATTTCCCCTCCCCCATCACAAACCCACTGCACATCCACCACCGAACCCACTTCGCACCCACCACCGAACCCACTCGGCATCCAACCCCGGCCATAGGCGCAAGATGGGATCGGTTGGCCCAGAGCCCCTCACAGAGGAGGACTGCTGCCACTACGCCATGCAGCTCGCCTCCTCCTCCATCCTCCCCATGACCCTCAAAGCGGCCATCGAGCTCGACGTCCTCGAAATCATCGCGGCCGCAGGCCCCGGCGCCCTCCTCTCGCCGAAGGATGTCGCAGACAAGCTCCCGACCACCAACCCGGAGGCTGCCACCATGCTCGACCGCATGCTGCGCCTCCTTGCCAGCTACTCCGTGCTCACCTCGTCGGTTTCTCTGACCCCCGACGGCCACCCCGAGCGCCTGTATGGCGCCGCACCCGTGACCAAGTTCCTGGTGAAGAACCAGGACGGCGTGTCCATGGCGCCGCTCGTCTTGATGAACCAGGATAAGGTTTTGATGGAGAGTTGGTATCATTTGAAGGATGCAGTTCTGGAGGGTGGGGTGCCTTTTAATAGGGCATATGGGATGACAGCTTTTGAATACCATGGAAAGGATCCAAGGTTTAATAAAGTGTTTAATAGGGGCATGTCTGATCACTCCACAATTACAATGAAGAAAATATTGGATGACTATCCTGGGTTTGAGGGGCTCAACTGCATTGTAGATGTTGGTGGTGGGATTGGAGCCACTCTGAACATGATTGTGGGAAAGTATGGGCACATTAAGGGGATTAATTTTGATTTACCCCATGTCATTGCAGATGCTCCTGAGTTTCCTGGTTAGTTGATTTGGTTCAGTCCTTTCTTTTCCTCTATGCAGGGTTTGGGACTGCTTCTTGTATGGATTTGTGGGCTTTTTCCTTCTCTTTTGTAACCATGGTTTTTGTGTTTTGGGTATTTGCAGGTGTGACTCATGTAGGGGGGGATATGTTTGAAAGTGTGCCTACTGGGGATGCTATCTTCATGAAGGTGGGTTGCTTCTCTCTCTCTCTCAATTTTTTTGTTCCTTTTTGCTTATTTCTCTCTGCAACTGCCTCTCTGTAATTGTTTCTCAATTGATTTGTGTGAGGGACGCAATTGTCTACACACTAATCTGTTGCATTTGGGATTGGGAAAATTGTGCAGTGGATCCTGCATGACTGGGGGGATGAGTACTGCCATAAGCTTCTGAAGAACTGCTACAAGGCCCTCCCGGACTCCGGCAAAGTCATCATTGCAGAGTCCATTCTTCCGATTGCTGCGGAGAACAGCCTTGCGGCCCATGGCGTGTTCCATGTGGACTGCATCATGCTCGCTCACAACCCCGGTGGGAAAGAGAGAACCGAGAAGGAGTTCGAAGCCCTGGCCAAAGGTGCTGGATTCGCCGGAATTAAGGTCGTTTGCTGCGCTTATGGTAGCTGTATAATCGAGTTCTACAAGTGAACATAACATTGAAGCTTTTTTCTTTTTTTTTCTTTTTTTTGTGATCACTCGATGCTGTATTGTTGATGGAGCTGCACGCGCTGCTCCAATAACTTTCCCTTGTTTTTTTGCTCCTGTATTTGAGGCTTTTCATCTCTCTCTTGAATCTTTGCTATTTGAAGAAATATAATTGTTGAGCTTTGCTTATCACCTGTGAAATAAACCCGAGATTTGCCCTCCATGACCTGGAAATCTTGATTTTACTGTGTGTTTTTCCCCCCTATTTTATGCGGGGAAATCACCTCAATATTTGCTTCATGACGGGCATCTATGCCATTCTCCTTTGGGAGCATAGTTAATTTTTGCCCGGATTAGAGACCTATTTAGGAGGATTTTTTTAATATGAAATTCAGGACCTACTAAGAATTACTAGATTACTATTCTAAAAAATTAATTTGAGTTTTTTAACATATAGATATCACTATCTAAAAATTGGATGATCTCAAGCCATTACTAATTTCAAGTGCGCATGATCTCAAGCCATTACTAATTTCAAGTGAGTAGAGGATACAATCATAAATCTCCTTATTGAGGTTAAAAAACTATTACATTTGGGGGACCTAAAATTAATTTTATGTGATCCCACAAGAGTAGAAAATCTTTTGGCTAGAAAGATAACCCAAGTATCCTGACAAATGAAAAATTGCTTCAAGAAAAATTGCCAAAAAGGACTGTAATTCTTGCACCAAAATATTAACATCGAAAAGTATTTTGGTATTTTAGTACAGCTAAGTCATTTAAGTTAAATGACACAAATACTGTTTGGTTTTTGAGTTCCTAACCTAGAATTATATCTTCCTATTATAAACTTTTGTTTTAAAATTAATTTGAAACCTCCAACAAATAAGATACTTTAGTCATTTGGCTCAACTTTTACAGCCAATCCAAATGACTAAACTACCTCAGCTGTCATGAGTTCAACAATAAATTTGTGAAACACAAGTTGGATGTTGGGAACTGAGACATGTGTTGGTTTCCATACATAGAACAATAAATTTTGTGAAACATAAGTTGGATGCTGGGAACTGAGACGTGCCCTGCCTGTGTCCTTCAAATATGATATAGGAGTGTTTTGGGTATTTTTTAATAGAATAGTTGAAGAGGTACCAAGATGAAATGATTCTTTAAAGGAAAAAAATTATAGGAGGTTGAGGTTGCAACTTTATATATATATATAAGTAGGCTGCATGTCAAAAATCTAATAAGAAAGAGATTTCCGAGTTGTAAAGTCTTTCAATTAGTCATCTTGACCTTTACATGGATATAAAGAAAAATAAATAAATAAATTTTAAATCCTAAAAATAGTGAATCTAATAACAATTTATATGGACAATCTATTTTTGAAAATCTTTCAATTAGTCATCTTGACCTTTACATGGATATAAAGAAAAATAAATAAATAAATTTTAAATCCTAAAAATAGTGAATCTAATAACAATTTATATGGACAATCTATTTTTGAGATTTTCAAGTATTTATAAATCTATTAGATCTGTATTGTTTTTAAAATTTAAAATTTCAATTAAAAATAACCATAAATTGGAAAGCCACCACAAAATTTTCGACACGAAAAGTACATTTTCTAGTAAAATGGGAACATCACCCTTCTTTGTAAACTTCAGTGTGGATAAATAAGTATTCTTTGAGCATTTCATTTAAATTATGAAGTAACTCGATCGTTTCAATGATTATTTCCTGTCATTTTCTGTTGATTTTTTCTTTTGGTTTACTTTCCATTGTTATGGTCGGCAAGGATTGGTTAAAGACGGAGCACAGATGACGTGTAATTTTGTAGTCGGTAGAAATGGAATCTCGGGTAAAACAGAAACGACACGGGCCCCAACCAATCCCCATTCTGCTACGAAAACGACGTCCTTCAATCTTGTTCAGTTGGTAATAACTGCAATGTCCTTGCGATTGGGTTTGTGGTGGTCGTGGTAGGACCACTTGTGTCTCAGGTAACGGTCTAGATTTTCATCTCCACATGCATTAAAAAACGGCTATATTTTAAAAAATGGGTATGGACTTATATTCCCCATTGATCTACCGAAAAAATAATAGCAATGCCCTTTGGTAGAACACGAGAAATTTTCAATCTAAAATTTGATATCTATTTGAGTATCATCACATGATTATTTTTAGCGTGTGGCTTCTATAAAGTTGCAACATTAAAAAATCCAATTGAGGTGCAGATCCAAATTTTATCATAACATATAATTTTGTTGGAAAATATTTTTAGGATTATCTTAATATCAATTTTCATGTCTAATAATCAAATTTTAAATTTCAAAAATGGTTAAATCAAGTGGATCTATAAACATATGAAAATATTGAAAATGGATACTCTAGATAATGTGTTGCAAGATGCACTATTTCTAGGATTCAAATTTTTTTTTTTTGGCATATTCATATATCTCAATGTCAAGATGATAAATTAAAGGATTTTTTATCATTAAATTAATATTTTCCGATAGATTTGAGGTGCATCTTTAATTCTAAATTTTAAAGTTGTAACCTTATATAAACTTTTTCCTTATTTCTATGGAAGGAAATATAAATTTTGAGTTCTTAAATATCTTGATGTCGTACTCCAAAAATTAGACATATACTATGCTCCTCCACACTATATGCTCTATACTAACTCCCTTGGGAGCAAGACCTACTTGCTAGAATTTTTCAACTTAAAATTTTGAGATCTATTTGAGTATCATCACATGATTATTTTTATGGAAGGAAATATAACTTTTTCTTAAACACCTTGATGTTGTCCTCCTGAAATTGGATGGTTCTTATTCAATCTTGGGAGGCTATTTTTTTGCGAGCATACAGAGTTCTATTTGATTTTTTTTGGAAGCTGATTATTAGGTTATGGAGGTTTTATTTCAGATTTTGGTTCCCAACAAAAAACAAAAAAAATCTCTAATCTGAGCTTTACTCGATGGAGCAAATTCACAAGGAAAAGTATAAAATGTGACCATTTACCTTTAGTACAAGGAGGTCATAATTAATCTTGACCATTGGATGTGAAATTGGATAGTTGCATTTATTCATTAACCAAACTCAAATTTCAAAAGTAATTTTCTCGAACTTTGTGACACACCTAAGCTATAAAATTTCATTTTGGATGGTTGTAAGTAATTGTGACCACTTTGTATGAAAGATAAATGGTCTCATTGTATACAATTCCAATTCACAATATGCTCCCACGAAAGCAGCAAATCCTTTAGTAAGAGCAAGGAATTTGTGGAAAATTTTAGATGGCTGAATCATACCTTCAAATAGTGTCGAGAAATGTGGTTTCAATACTGGAAATATTTGTGATAGCCTTAAAATATATTTTCATCTTTAATTACAAAATTTAAAGCTTAACAGTTAGTGTAGACCGAGTAGATCTATAAAACCTTAAAAATCTTGAAAATTGACTGTTCAAAAATTCATTAAAATATACACTATTTTCAAAACTTGAAATCTATTTTTTTTTCATGTCTATGCACTTGATATCAAAATGATCAATTTGAAGATTTTTGGAACATCAAAACAACCTCTTCTAGTAAACTTTTTTAGGTGACCTCTAATTTGATTGTTTAGAGCTTGGCTTTATATAAACTTTTTCCTTAAAAAAATTCTATGTTCCCTCGGGAACATTACCGTTACTGACGCTAGAAGTATATTTGGGACTCCAAATTTTGGAGTTGTGATTCTTGTGACCTCTTCAACAAGCAACCGGCCTCAAGGAAAAGCTTTTGTGCATGCCTGAAGAGATAGCAACTAAATAAAGACGTGCAATGATTGGATCGTCCGATTTAAGCCTTTAATTACTCAAAATCCAAACTTTATTTTTGAAAATTTTTATGTGGTGATTCTGCAAATATGTTATGTGCACTCAATTTTGGGCTTTATAATTTTAGCAATAGAATAACCCTAATATGCAATTTTTAGAATTGCAAAAAAGGCAAAATGATTTCGAGGGAGGGACGAAAAAGGAGCATCCACCATCCAAGAAACTACATAGCGATACAAATGGGCCGAAAATAGGCTCGTTTGAGCATTTCTTATAGATCCTGACCTATTGGGCCCGAATTTAAGTCATATTATCTTAACATGCTAGGTATGGGCCATAGTATTAAGACCTAGTAGGCATTTATTATACAACTTTCTAGTTTTTCTTTTCTTTTCTGGACAAATTTTGTAGTTTATTGAGGGTGTAAATATGCTGGGCCTGGCCTGACAGGCCAAGTTTGGGCCTCATTATAGGGCCAATCGAGCTTGGCCGGGTTTGAATTTCAGGCCCATTATCTTAACATTTCACCGCACTTGTACCCCAAATACTATGGTCAAATTTGATGATCACAAGAAGACGATGCAAGGGTCATCTTTCTTTTTTTTTCTTTTTTTCTTTTTTTTTTAAAAAAAATTATTGCAGTTAGGGTCATCATCATCCAATCAGATGATGAAAGAATTGCACTAACAAGAATGGGCCCACTTCAATTATAAGTCCCACTATCCGTCTACCATCTAATTGCCATGCTACATTTTTCATGGGAAGAAGAAAAGTGTTCAAATCTGTGTTTGAAATTTTTCTAAGCTATGCAGGTTTATAAGCCCTAGGCCTTGTGAAGAAAAACTAAATCCTCACCCCAAAACCTCCTATGGGATGTACTTTGGGTATGGAAAATCGCACTAATGGCTCCGAAATCAATTTCCACCCTGATTATAAAATTTGTTGTTTAAAAAGTGATACAGATCTTGCTGATCTATGAACACCTAAAAAATAGACGGTCTAGATAATGTGTTATAATATCACTAGTTTTAGAGCTTGAAATCCTTTTTTTTTTCAAAACCACAATGGCCAATTACAAAATGAAGGGCTTAAAATCTTTTTGTTTTTTACGTAACCATAATGGTAAATGAGATGATGGTCGATTAGAAAATTTTAAGATACCAAAACTGCAATTTTCCATGAATTTTAAGGATATCTTTACTTTTTTTGATAGGGCTGCAACCCTATTAAAACATTTTCCTTTTCTAAGATACTCCTAATGTGTAGCTTCTAGAAGTTGTGGACATAGCCTTTTAGGACAATCTTACCGTTAGGTAAATATTTCATTATATAAAGTAGCAATATTTGTTTTGATTGATTTTACGAAGTTGTTGCCTTTGGACAAAACTTAACTGGTAG